CTTTCATTTCTCTTGGACAGGTACTTAAAGTGGAATTGCTAGATCATAAGGGAGATAGATGTTTAACTTTTAAAGAAATACCCAAAATAGTTGGATATTGTGTGCTTCTGGATGTGATATCCTGAGAATGACACATCATTTATGAAGTATTCCGACCAGGACTACATAACCTGAATCTGATCATGAAGAAACATCAGGACCATCCTATTTAGAAATAACAATAGAAAAAATAAAAAATAAATAAATTTTTCAAAAATGTCAGTGCCGTATAAGATAAAGACAAAGCAAGGAATTTTCCAGATTAAAGGAGGCTGAAGAGACATGACAAATGCAGGACATGATCCCAGACTCAGTTCTGTAAAAAATGCTATAAAGGACAATTATTGGGTCAATTGACAAAATTGGAATATGGACAGTAGATTGAAGTATTGTCAATCTGTCATTTACTGTAGTTGATACAGTGGCTATGTAAGATAATAATACCCTTATTCTGTGAAAATACATACTAAAGTACGTAGAGGTAAATTATATGGAATGAGAAGGGAAGGAGGGAGGAAGGGAGGGCATGCCATGTGCAAATGATGGAACAAATGGGGCAAAATGATGATTAAGTTGATATGGATAAAAGGTTTGTGGGTGTTCTTTGTACTCTGGTTGTAATTCTTCCATAAGTTTGAAATTATTTCTAGATAAAAAGTGGAAAAAACAAAACAAAAATTGTCTGTTATGGCATTTCTCCCTTCTTTATGTGAGGCATTGATTAATCCGTTCAAATTTAATTGTCATTAGTCTATTCCAGTTTTTCTTTTCCTTATATGTCAGTTTTTTTAAAGTTTTTTATCCACTTCTCCTGTTTTCAAATGTATTTGCATATATAGTTCATAATATTTTATAATTTAAAAAATTATTTCTGTAGCTATTTCATCTTTTTGTAATTTGCATCGACATCTTCACTTCTTTCCTTGATCTGTTTTGCTAGAGATTTGTCTCTAATATTTTCTTCAAAGAACCAACTTTTGGTTTTCTTAATCTTTGCAGTTTTTTTTCCCACCTCTGTTTCAGAGATTTCTGTCCTTACATCCTTCCTTCTTTCTTTGAGTTTACACTGTCTTTGATCTTTTTGAGTTGTAAGATTAGCTGTTTATTTTTTTCAGTGTTTATCTCCTAATATATTCAAAAGCATAGTTTTTCTGCTGTTGTCTTATCACATCCTGCCAATTTCGGCATGTATTCTTCAGCTCTAAGTATCTTATAATGTTCCGTGTCGTTTCCTCTTTAACTGAAGGGTTATTTAGTTATATAATTTTTTGTTTACATTCTTGGGGTTCTTTAGCTCTTTTTATTATTTCGAATTTTGTTGCAGTGTGCTTGGAGAGGATAATCTGTTAGGTTTTTTATTTTTAAATTTTATTGCCCTTTAGGTGACGTTTACAGCACAGATTAGTTTCTCATTCAAAAATTTATACACAAATTATTTTGTGTCATTGGTTGCAATCCCCACAATGTGTTAACACTCTCCCCCTTTCCCTTTCCGCTCTGGAGTCCGTGGGTCCATTCATCCAGTTTTTCTGTCCATTTCTGCCTTCTCATCTTTGCTTTGGGGCAGGTGTTGCCCATTTGATCTAGTATACTTGATTGAACTAAGAAGTGTGTTCGTCACGTATGTTCTTGTTTGTTTTATAGGCCTGTCTGGTCTTTGGCTGAAAGTAGACTTCCAAAGTGGCTTCAGTTAGCAGGGTGTCTGGGGCCATAGTCTCAGGGGTTCCTCCAGTCTCTGTCAGACCATTATGTCTGGTCTTTCTTTGTGAATTTTGAAACATGTTTCTCCTGCTCTGTCCAGGACCCTCTATTGTGATCCCTGTCAGAGAGGTTGGTGGTAGTAGCTTCTGGACTCAGGCTGGTGGAGGCAGTGGTTCCTGTGGTCCATTAGTCCTTTGGACTAATGTTTTCCTTGTATCTTTGGTCTTCTTCATTCTCCTTTGCGCTGGATGGGATGGGACCAATAGATGTATCTTAGATGGCCACTCACAAGCTTTTAAGACCCCAGACACTACTCACCCAAGTAGAATATAGAGCATTTTCTTTATGAACTATGGCCAATTGACCTACATGTCACCCGAGACCATGGTCCCCAGACCTCAGCCCCAGTAACTCGGTCCCTCAAGGTGTTTGGATGTGTCTAGGAAGCTTCGGTGACTTTGCCTTGGTCAAGCTGTGCTGACTTCCCCTATAATGTGTGTTGTTTTTCCCTTCACCAAAGTTAACACTTACCTACTATCTAGTTAGTGATTTCCCCTCCCCAACTCTCCCCTCCCTTGTAACCATCAAAGATTGTTTTTGTGTGTGTATAAACCTTTTCTTGACTTTTTATAATAGTGGTCTCATACAGTATTTGTCCTTTTGTGATTGTCTTATTGTGCCCTCCAGATTCATCCATGTTGTGAGATAGTTCGCAGATTCATCATTGTTCTTTATCATGCTTAGCATTCCATTGTGTGTATTTTGTTTATCCATTCATCTGTTCATGGGCACTTAGGTTGATTCCATCTTTTTGCTATTGTGAATAATGCTGCAGTGCATGTGGGTGTGCATATGTCTGTGTGATGGCTCTTATTACTCTAGGATAAATTCCTAATAGTGGGATTGCTGGATCGTATGGTATTTTATTTCTAGCTTAAGGAAGCACCATATCATTTTTCATAGTGGTTGTACCATTTTAGATTCCCACCAGCAATGAATATGAGTTCCAATCTCCCTGAAACCTCTCCAACATTTGTTGTTTTCTGTTTTTTTGATTAGTGCCAGTAATGTTGGGGTAAGATGGTATCTCATTGTAGTTTTGATTTTCATTTCTCTAATGACTAGTGATCACAAGCAGTTCTACTTAACAGCACATTTCTTGCTAAATTTATACGTATGTATTTTATTGTTTCTGTTGTAAAGGTGAACATTTCTTCATCTTATAACTAACTGGTGGTGGTGGTTTGAGCATAGAAAGTATATTAATTTCTGTTTCTTAATTTTATACCCAGCTACTTAAAAATTCTTTTAATAATGATTCTTTTTAATTTTCCACACATGAAAGCTCATTATCTACAACTAATGATAATTTTACTGTTTTTTCCCATTTTTATATTTCCTTTATTCTTTAGTGATAATGAACATTCTTGTCTTGTTTCACACCTGAATAAGGGTCGTTTTAAGTTTCTTTATTAAGTATAATATTGGATTTTAGGCTTATTTATTATGTGTACATGTTTCCCATGTTAATTATCTGCTTATTTCTATCTTATTTTTTATTTTAAAACTCTTGATGGATGTGTAAGTTTATCTAATGTCTTTCATTGACTGTGAAGGTAATCATGTATATTTTTTCTTGATATCTTTGCATGACAAACTAAATAGATACTATATTGAACCACTTTTGATTATCAGAGCTAAACTCTATCTGATCATAACAGAAGTATATTATCCCTTTGGTATGTTCTTAGAGTCTTATTTTTATTTTATTTTTTATTGTACTTTAGATGAAGATTTATAGAGCAAATTAGCTTCTCATTAAACAATACACATTTTTTTTTTTTTGTAACATTGGTTGCCAACCTCATGACATGTCAAAATTCTCCTCTTCTCGACCTTGGGTTTCCCGTTACCAGCTTTCCTGGCCCCCCCGTTACCAGCTTTCCTGGCCCCTCCTGTCTTCTTGTCCTTGCCTCTGGGCTGGTGTGCCCATTTAGCCTCATTTTGTTTTATGGGCTTATCTAATCTTTGGCTGAAGGGTGAACCTCAGGAGTGACTTTAGTACTGAGTTAAAAGGGTGTCCGGTGGCAGTACTCTTGGGTTGTCTCCAGTCTTTGTCAGACCAGTAAGTCTGGTCTTTTTTTTGTGAGTTAGAATTTTGTTCTACATTTTTCTCCAGTTCTGTCCGGGACACTGTATTACGATCCTTGTCAGAGCAGTCGGTGGTGGTAGCCAGGCACCATCTAGTTGTGCTGGACTCAGTCTGGTGGAGGCTGTGGTAGTTGTGGTCCATTAGTTCTTTGGACTAATCTTTCCCTTATATCTTTGGTTTTCTTCATTCTCCCTTGCTCCAGAAGGGATGGGACCAGTGGAGTATCTTAGATGGCCACTCACAGGCTGTTTAGACACCAGACGCTACTCACCAAAGTAGGATGTAGAACGTTTTCTTTATAAACTATATTAGGCCAATTGAGCTAGATGTTCCCTAAGACCGTGGTCCCCAGCCTTCAGCCTAGCAATTCGGTCCCTCAGGGAGTTTGGATGTGTCTGTAAAGCTTCCATGACCTTGCTTTGGTAAAGCTGTGCTGGCTTCCCCAGTATTGCGTACTGTCTTACCCTTCACCAAAATTACCACATATCTATTGTCTAGGTAGTGTTTGTCCCGCCCCATCCCTCCCCTCCCTAGTAATGAGTCTTTTTATTTTTATTGTTTTCTTTAGTAGTTTTACATCTGAATTCATAAGTACTACTGATCTGTAGTTTTCATTTGTGTTTGTGCTGTTTTTTAGCGTTTGGTATCACTGTTATGTTCCCAATATAAAAATAATTTAGATGCTCCACTTCTATTCTTTGAAACAGTTTAGGTAGCTTTAGAATTAGTGTTCTCAAATGTTTGGTAAAATTTAGTTTACATTGGCACATGTGCTTTTTGAGGAGGTTAGTTCTTTGACAACTTTCTCTATTCCTTCTATGATAATTATCAGATAGTTTCCGTAAAATCTTTTCTTGTTGTACTTTCATGGATTTTATCATAACTTACTTGCAATACTGTTAACACTGCTTATGTTTTTCTTACGGTATTAAATAAAACACCTTGTGTTATATACATCAAATTGTTAAGTTATTAAGGGCTTTGGAATAGGAACCATCTTGCGCTGTTTATTGCTTCAAATTCTAGCCCTTAATGGGGAATACGTTGACTTAATTTTTTTCCTTCCTTCTTTTTTTTTTTTTTTGTGGTGTTGGTGGGTGTTTTACAGGCTTCCCAGTTGGCGTGTATGTTGTAAAGAGAGTTCTTCAGCTTCATCCTATTACTCTCAAGATGACAATTGCGCACTAGAAAACGAAGATACACAGTTCCAGAAAGAGGTACCTTAAATAAAGTTGACAGTGTAATGTGTGTGTCAGCTGTCAGAGATTCTCAAAACATTCTGAATAAAAGTAATTTCAAAAATATGCCGTAATTTTTGGTGGGAGATTTGTATTTTTCCTTAGCATAATTATTCAGGTAATTATTTAATTAAAATAAATCTGAGGTAGTTATCTATTTATTACTGTTGCTCATATTTGAAATGTTGTAACTTCTGGAGTCCTACAGAAGGGAGAAAAATAGTGCCTGTTCAGACTACTGAAAGCTAGTGGCTCCCTTTTTTATGCTGTAAATAGTTAAAGGGTTTCTAAAGAAATCTCAGTCTTATAAATTAAAAAACTATTGGAAATTAGGATTACTGGGAGAGTCTGCAATCAGTGACTGTGTAGTTTGTTTTATATAGGAGATGGGGTAAATAGACATAGTCCAGAAATAACTGTGCTCTCTAAATCATTTTTTATTTTATCATTTTAAGTGAATAAAAGGTGGGTATTGACTACATTTGGCTTTTTTGCCTAAATTCAATGCATTTATTTTAAATTACAGAATAATTTGTACTGACCATAAAATGTTCTTACTCATATCCCATTCCCTTCCCCAAAGGAGCCACGGTTTACTATTTGTTGTTTAAACTTTCAGACCTTTTTCTCTGAGTATAGATATACCTTTATATATTGCACAAATTAATATTTTTATTTTCACTAAAATGTCATAAATACTCTACAACTTGATTCCCCCCTTTTATAATTGACTTCCCCAGTGATATCTCATGGACACCTTTCCATGTTGCTATATTCTTAATGGCTGCATTTTTATTCTAGTGTATGGTTAATTTATTAACCATTTCTTTATTGATGGACTTTCTTATTGCTTCCCAGCTATCTGTGTGCATGTGTGCATGTATGTGTGTGTGTATCAACACATATTTACCATTACATTTACAGTCTTGGGTTTCTCTTTTGTTTGGGGGGGTGGGTGGAGATGATATATTCCTAGGAATGGATTATTTAAATTTTTGAGTTATGTAGGGTATAATTTCTGGAATGGAGCATTTTAAGACTACTGTTACATATCCTACAAAAAGACTATTATTTTATACTTCCGCCTACAGTTTATAAGACTTAGATTTAATCTCATCTGTGAGAAATTTGAAGAATAATGTTGTAGTAATGAATTTAAGTGAAGCATTAAGGGAGGAAAACATATTCTCTTAGTAAACGTGTAGGTACCTTGTACGTGCTAGAGAGGCTCAGATACACAAAGATGAATATGAATCTTGTTTTTCAGAAACTTACACCAGGAGAAGCATTTAAAGACATATATAGATATCTGAATTGCTAACTTGAAAAGTGAGTAAGTGCCAAAAGAGACATGAGGCAAAAGTGCTATATGGGCATTCATTCATCAGATACTTATTGAAATTTTACTCTGTGCCCAAGACATAGTTCTGGGTGATAGTACAGTGCTTATTAAGAAATCAAGTGAGATTCTTGAGCTCAGGTAGCATACATTTTAATGGTAGTGGTGAAGAGGGGCATGCAGGGAGATAGATAATAAACATGTAAATAAATAAAAATAATTAGAATCAAATACATACATTATTTTTATTGTATAAAAGGAGATGTTCTTTAATATTGCTTGAGGACTGTTTTGCGAAACAATTTCTTGAGTTATTTTCTTTGTTGTGATACAGGATGAAAGAGAGGGACCTATCAATGCCGAATTAACAGAAAAAGTGGGTTCAAATTTACCTATTCCTCCAGAAGAACATAAATTAAAAGATGACTACATTGTGGATGTGCAAGTAAGCTATGTTCCTTTAATTTTTAATAATACACTTTTTCAAACTACACAAGATAGAAAAGCTCTGTTTGGCCACCATATTACATACTGCTGATTTTTGTTTTTGAAGTACCATGCACCTGGCCTGAAGACTGTTAACTTGCTAATAATACTGCTTTTGAGAAAGTGCAAAGTTTCAGATTTAATAATATACGTGACTATTCCCTTTATAGTAAAAGTTTGGATATAAATCCTCATTAATTCTGTCTTGGTTACCTAGTACTGCCATACAGAAATGCCACAGATGGATGGGTTTAAAGAACAGAAGTTTATTGTCTCACAGTTTTGAAGGCTAGAAGTTCAGATCACGGGCAGGGGTCCTTCCTGTTGGTAGCTCTGGGTGTTCCTCGGCATTCCTTGGCTTGTAGATGGTTCCTGACTTGTCTCTTCCTCTGTGTGCGTGTGGGTGTCTTGTCTCTTTGTGCCCGTTTTTCTTTTTTATAAGATACCACTCAGATGGTATTAGATTTAGGACCCACCCAATCAGAAAAATGGCCTCGTTAACATAGCAAAAGAAAACATTCTTATTTCCAAGTAGGGTCAGATTTACAGGTATAGGAAATAGAATTTCTACGTATGTTTTTAGAGGACACAGTTCAGCCTATAACACCTTCTTAGGTTCCATTCTGGCTTGTTATGTATCTTGTCTCTTCAGATTTTCAGATGTTAGGAAAAATTTTTGTAACCTTCATTTACAACTAAAGAAAGCATTTGCATGTAGAAAACAATATTTTGATACTTACATTTTATTACTTTTTGTCGAATATCAATTCATAAATAATAGGTTAAAATAGGTTCTTTTCCTTTTTTCTATCATACTACATTCTGAATATTGTTTTCCATTTTGTATACCAGATTTTATGAAAGATACTAAAAACAAGAGTATATATACTGTAACCTGACCAGGGAGTCTCTGGGAGATGCAAAGGGTTAATGTGCTCAACTGCTAACCAAAAGGTTAGAGGTTTGACACTACCCAGAGGTGCCTCAGAAGAAAAGTCTAGTGATCTACTTCTGAAAAATCAGTCATTGAAAATCTTATGAAGCACAATTCTACTCTGACACACATGGGGTCACCATGAGTTGGAATCAAGTCAATAGCAAATGGTCTTAAGCTGACCAGAATGCTGAGGCATCTGGAAACCATTTAATATTAGGAATGTCTGAAGGAACTGAGAGGATTTGCTCTGGAGAAAGAAGATTTAGGAGAGACTACTGTATTTTTATGTAAATAATGCTCACCTTCTACGTTTGTTTGTTAACCGTGTCCTCCCTATGCGAGGTATTTTTGTAAAGGCACTATGCTAATTTTTTTGCACATATAAAATAAAGTGGGATAGCAGCACTTATGAAAATAATTCACGAGGGGAGGGCACAGTTGGCGAACATAGAAGGTGCATGTTATTTGCGTAAATATACAGTAGATATTTCAACTATTAACACAAGCAAATTCCAGCTCAAAATGAAGGAGTTTTTTTTTTTAAATTCAGCCAGAACTATTTTATAGCTTAATAGTTATCTAAAGAGATACAGTGAGATTTCTTCTACTGGTTTCTAAAAGACGTTTGTCAAAGGTTTGTGAGTGAGAGTAAAAGTGATCTCTATATCAAACTGACAACAGCAACTCAAAAGGTTTGATGGGAAGCCTAGGGGACAGTGAGTTGAAGATAATGGTGATGGAATAATTTGGAAAAGGATAGTGAGAATAGCAGCACACCTGGAAGAATATAATCGATGTCACTGAATTGTACATGTAGAAGTTTTTGAAATTGTGTATCTTTGACAGTGCATATTGTCACCAAAAAAAAGGTCCTCCAAGGTTGAGAAGGGAGAGTGTTGACATGTCGTGGGGTTGTTACGCAGTGTCATAAAACAATATGTGTACTGCCCGTTTAATGAGAAACTATTTGTTCTGTAACCTTCATCTAAAGACCAATTTAAAAAAAAAAAAAAAGTGATTTCTGTAGCCCTTCCAATTATATATGACTGTCCTGAATAGCCCTGCCATTGTAAATTTTCTAGAATTACTTTCATCACGGTAATGTACTCTTGCTCAAATACTTTGAAGCGCTTACTGCATCTTGTAGACCTGTGCTGTTCAATACAGTAACCTCTAGCCACATGTGGCTATTGAGCACTTGCAGTTTGGCCAGTACAAATTGAGATTTGCTATAAGTATAAAATACACATTGGATTTTGAAGACTTAGTTAAAAAAAAGTTATAAAATCTCATTAGTTTTTTATATTGATTACAATTTGAAATGATAATATTTTGAGTATATTGAGCCAAATAAAATATATTACTAAAATTAATTTCACTGGTTTAGTTTTACTTTTTTTCATAAATTATTAGAAAATTTGGCTTGCATTATATGGTATATAGGAAAATGCTTTTATGACCAAAATACTATAATAGTCCTTGTCTCGAGGCCTCCACCATAAAAATGCAAACTACCTTTTGCTTTTGTTTGTGAATTTTCTGTTTCAGTTTAAATAATTCTGTCAAATGATCACAATTCATATTCTCCTGACTATACCTCATGTTTTCTTTCTGCTCGCATACTTGGCCCAAGCCCTCATTTTCAAAGGCCTAGCTCTTAGTCCATAATAGTTTATAATCTGTCTTTTTCCTTATCTGGGTACAAGTACCTCTTATTTGATATTCATTTTTTCTTTTAAATAATATTTTATTGTGTTTTTGGTGAAAGTTTACACAGCAAATTAAGTTCCCGTTTAACAGTTTTCTACACAAATTTTTCGGTGACACCGGCTGTATTTTTCACAGTCTGTCAGCATTCTCATTATTTCTGCTCTGGTTGTTCCATTTCCAGTAATCTAGTTTCCCTGCCCCCTTGCCTTCTCATCTTTGCTTTATACTAAATGTTGACTGTTTGGTCTCATATAGGTGATTTTTTAAAGGACCACAGTACTCATGGGTGATACTCTTTATTTTATGAGCCCGTCTTATTTAGCTAAACGGTGACCTCAGGGAATAGTCTCGGTTCAAAGTTTAAAGAGTATCTCAAGGCGATAGTCTCGGGTAGTCCTCTAGTCTCAACTGGTCCAGAAAGTCTGCACTTTTTAAGAATTTGAGTTCTGTTCCATATTTTTCTCTATTCTATAAGGATCCATCTGTTGTGTCCCTGATCAGAACTGTCAGTAGTGGTACTGTAAATGTATAGTGTGTTTTGATGATATTCATTTAATAAGCATTTAAATGCCTACTAGGTACTGTTCTAGATACTGGGAACATGAAGATCAGTGGAACATAGTCTTAGTCAAGGCATTTAATAGTCTAGTTGAAGAAGGGAGGGAGACATAAAGAAGGGCATTTGAGATCGTATAGATGCTGGGATAAAAGTCTATACAGGAAGCAGTGGAGGAAGGGGAATGGCTAATTCTGCTTAGGGAGAGCTGTGGGAGATAAAGGGCTGATAGAGGTTTTCAAATATGAGTAAGTAGTAGGTAGATTTCACACGGTGGGGTGGATAGCTCAGTGCATTAAGGGCTGAAGGAACAGCAAGAGCAATATCCTGCTTTGTAATGTTACTTGTATATGTACATGTCTTATGTTGTTTATTGTTACACATTATCTCCTAAACTGCTCAGGGGCAAGAACTATGTGTTGTATTATTTTGCATACTTCTACAGGATTTCTGTCTTGTTTATAGAAAAACAAAACAAAACAACCCAGTTGCTGGTAAGTCAACTCCGACTTCATGGTGAGGCCCCATGTGTGTCATAGTAGAACTGTGCTTCATAAGGTTCCGAGGTGACTCTAGGTAGATTTGAACCTCCAACCTTTTGGTTAGTAGCTGAACATATTAACTGTGCCACCCAGAGACTCCATCTTGTTGATAGCATTCATTAATTGTAATGACAGAGGAAAATATTTGTAGGTCCTGGTACGAAATAGGAAATAAGAAAGTGGTAAGTTCCTTGTCCTAGTTTATGAAATGCCATGAAAAATGTGAAATACCAGTAGCATAGCTTCCAGCATCATAGCAGCACTGGAACATAAAGTATTTTAAGATGAAATATATTCCTTAGGATGGTAATATTGGAAGAAAGGATTTTTATAAAAGTACTTTTTGTGAACATCCTTTATAATGTCACTTTGAAGAAATACTTTCTATAAAATCAGATAAAGAGATTTATTAATCTCAACACTTAATATAACTGGTATATATGTGTTTGTGTGTATATATGTTCTAGTTTATTAAAATTTTTTTTTGTAAACAGAATAAGGAATCAAAAAAGTTAAGCCCACCTGTAGTTGAGACACTCCCTACAGTTGATCTACACGAAGATTCTTCCAGTGTGGTTGTGAACAGTGAAAACATTGAAAATATTTCTGGCTCATCTACCTCAGAGATCACTCCAGTCTCAAAGCTTGAGTAAGTCATTACCAAGAATAAAAAGAATCTCATTAGTTAATGATAGAAACATTTCTTGATAGGTTAAAGCAGCTTGATATTCAAGTTTGAAATTTAGACTATAAAGCAGACCTAAGTTGTTATGTCTGTGTTTTGTGTTTTGTTTATGTAATGATCATATGATGTAATGAGTCTATATTAACTTCCTAACTCAATGAAGTTGATAAGATCTCAGCTGTGAAATTTCTACATTGTATAGGTTCTGCTATTTAAGAAACACAATGCTTATTTGAATAATCTTCTTTATAATTATAAAAATCTCAAGTTTCAGATTATTAATTTCCATTAAGTATCAGTATTGCATTCCATTCATAGTTATGTGATTGAATGAGTAGCTACCCTTTTCAAACTTAATACTAAATATTCAGAATGTTTAGGTTTAAGATGTCCTTAATTTAGAAAATCTGTTATGTGCTCCTCCAGCTCCCTCCCAGCAGCTCTCCAAGGACCAAAACAGAATGCTCTTCTCTTACTATTACTTTAAGTATTTCCTTTATCAAATGAGTTAATACATGTAAAATGCATAGAACAATAACTGACACATAGTAAGAATATATAAGTGGCAGATAATATCATTATCATCATCACTACCATTTTACCACAGGTACTTTAAAAAAAAACTATTCTTAAGAATGCTAGGGACTGGGTGGAAGGAGTTGCACACAAATGTGTTACAGTTACCATTTAGGGGTTTTACCAGTAAGGGGCAAGAGAACTAAACATGTTTAGAAATAATATTATTTAAATTTTTTAAATATTAAATAGTTACTCCAGAAAGAATTTAAGGGTAGATAATACATAGCTGAACAGTACTCTTTTTCTCCCATTTTACTAAGTATAACTGATCAGTAAAATAGAGGTGAAGTGGGGAAAAATGTTAGGGTAAGTATTTTTTAAATGAAATTCTAAAAGTGCCTAAGAACTTTGGTGCAGTGTCTTGAGATAAAAGGTAATTTTTGATGCTATAGGCAACAATGCTGACACACTAGAATATATACTAATAGACAAATTAAACTTTAGGGACAATACATTTAGAATAAATAATGTGAAAAATCTTATTTTTAATGAGACTGAGTATTAGCCTGTAATATTTTGTTTAAAAATTGCTAGTTATTTTGAAGCTGAGGACATGAACAGATCGAGTTGACAGTTGACTTTACATGATTTCAAATAAGTAATTTCCTAAAAACATTCCACAGAACTGTAAAGCACTCTTCTTTTTTTGGTTTAGATTATGTTTTGGAAATAATGAATAACATGTTTAACTTACTTTACATTAAACTCATTAAATCATGAAATTGTCTTTTTTGTTTCTTTAGTGAAATAGAAAAATCTGGTACTATCCCTATAGCCAGGCCAACTGAAACTGAGCAGTCTGAGACTAATTGTGGTGACGGTGAGGCCCTTGATGCAAATGCTCCAGCAGAACAACCTTCCTTTGTCAGTCCACCTGAAAGGTGGGTGCAGACAGTTGTTTGTCCTTTGTATGATTCTGTGATAAAAAACAGTCTCCTACTTGAATGGACAGGTGCATGCTTACTTGTATGTTATGATTGAGAGGTAGCTGATCCCTCTATGCTCCTGTCTTGATTTACCCTGTAAATGATAATCATTGCAATTTAGATTATGTAAACTTGTTATCTAGCTAAAATTTGTTTGCATGTCTTTTGGTTTCAAATAGTCTTGTTGGCCAGCATATAGAAAATGTGTCATCCTCACATGGCAAAGGAAAGATAACAAATTCAGAATTTGAATCAAAAGTTTCAGCAAGTGAACAGGATGGTGGTGATCCAAAATCTGCATTGAATGCTTCAGATAATTTAAAAAATGAGGTAGGTGTAAAACTTGTACCATCTCCTACTTTATTAAGCAATATACTTTTATTAATAGTTAATTTTATAGTAATTTGCTAACCATATTTGCCATGCGATCAGGGTAATTGAGTAATTAATGCCATGTGTAAAACTGACACGAGAGTAAGTGTACTTCAGGGTACCTACTGCCAGTATAGTGTGTGTACTTCAGGGTACCTACTGCCAGTATACTGTATAGAGAGAGTTGTTTCAGGTATGGACTCTTATATGTATCTAAATAAAGTCCTTATTTAAATAATTTCTTAAGATAGCTGTAGAGAAGAAGCTATAACTATTAAATTTCTTCAGAATATAAGTTAACTTAATAATACAAGGTGAAATTTAGGTTCTTCCAGCAGAATGATTAAGGGAACATTTTACCTTTGTTTATTTGCTGAATTTATTGTTCATATTCTTTGATTCCCTTCCCCGTTTTGATTTGTAGGAGCTCTTTAAAGTTGGTAATAATCCTTTGTTGGCTGAACATGTTGTGTTGCATACACTTCTGTCAGTCTGTAGCTAATTCATCCATATAGTTTATGATCTTTTGATGTATTTAATTTTTTATTTTAATCTAACCAAATGTGCAAACATGCATTCTGCATTTTGTTAAATCTTTTATTACTCTGAGTCATAAAGCTGTTTTCCTTTATTTTCTTCTAAAATTTTGAAGTTTTGCTTTTTATATTTACATTTTTAAAGTCACCTAAGATTTTTATGTATAGGGTACTTGTTAAGGATTTTCTGGAAACGATATATTACATCTTTAATTAGTTAGCTTCCTTTAATATATGTATTATTTAGACTTACATTTTAAGGTAGATATACTTCAGTTAGAACATTTTATTAATTTGTAAAACGTGTGATTGTTTGCCAACAATATAATATAGGGTGTTTTACAATTCGTGCTTATGTTGCCAACATGTGGTGCTTAGGTAAAAAGTATGAATTCTTTCAAGAGAAACTCAGCTTTTAAGTAATTCCAAATGTTTGTTTTCACCTATTTTTTTCTAAAATGCTATTATTCATTTTAAAAATCAAGGCTTTTAATTAATTTGACAGAAGCATTTGTATTTACTTTTGTAATTTATTAATCTGTATTCTTTGAAAGTTGAAATCTGTTCAATTTTGACAATCCTTTCAGAGTTCTGATTATAAAAATCCAGGAGAAATTGACCCTTCATCTGTAGCAAGTCCCAAAGATCCAGAAGATATTCCAACATTTGATGAATGGAAGAAAAAAGTTATGGAAGTAGAAAAAGAAAAAAGTAAGCAAGCTCTGGGATCCCCCTCCTTTTTTTTTTTTTTAATTGAAGAAGATAATTTAAATTTGTTTTTCTCTTTTAAATTGCTGATATAAAACTTGCTTTTGAATGTTTTTAAGGAAGTATTATCTTTCTGTCTATAACCCTAATGTAAAGAATTCTTAACTCTGACACTTATTCTACAAGGACAAAAAGAAAATATAGGAGTTTAATCCAACTATTTGCAGTAAATTATAAGAGTAGTAGAAGCCCTGGTGGTGCAGTGGTTAAAGCTCTCAGCTGCTAATTGAAAGGTTGGTGGTTCAAACCCACCAGCTGCCCCTTGGAAGAAAGATGTGGCAGTCTGCTTCCGTAAAGATACACAGCCTTAGAAACCCTATGGGGCAGTTCTACTCTATCCTGTAGGGTTGCTGTGAGTCAGAATGGACTCGACAGCAATGGGTTTGGGTTTGGGTAGGAATAATAGAGAAAGTAGAAGTGACAATTTAAAGGCTGTAATCATTCTGATTTGTTAAGGCTTTGTGACTCAGAACCTCCCATCTCTCAATTTTTCTTTAATTAATTGAGATGAAAGCCACTGCACTGCCTTCTTTTATCTTAACCTAATACAGTAATTTATCAAAATGCATTTTAATTGATGTTAAAACTATGTAATTATCCATAGGTAAATTACACATGGGTAATCAACAACTAAGGATTCCTGGTGGCTAAACGGTTAAACACTTGGCTGCTAACTGAAAGGTTGGCTGTTTGAACCCACCTGGCGCCTCTGTGCCAGAAAGTGCTGGTGGTCTGCTTCTGTAAAGATCAAAAACTAAAAATAAACCCATTGCTGTCGAGTTGACTCTGACTCACAGCAACCCTATATGACAGAGTACAGCTGCCACATAGGGTTCCCAAGGCTGTAAATCTTTATGGAAGCAAACTGCCACATCTTTCTCTCATGGAATGGCTGGTTACATTTCAGTTACCATGAGCTCTTAACCACTGCACAACCAGGGATCCTTCCATAAAGACTACAGCCAAGAAAACTCTATGGAGCAGTTCTACTCTGTAACACATGGGTTCAAAATAGACTCGACGGCACCCAACAACAACAATAATCAACAACTACTTGGAAAGTTACACCTTTAATAGAATAAAAAGTATATACAAACAAGCTTTGATTTTTATGTAAAATCTTCATTTTGTGAGTGCACTATTTAGACATAAATCAAGTAATATGGACTTATGTAGTTAATTTGTTTATTGGAGATATTTTAAAGTGATTGAGGTGAAGCATTTTGAATTTCTAATGGGTTTTTAAAATATTTTCATAAGCATTAAAACCTGTCCTTGTCTAGAAGGCACCCTGTTAATTTTGAGAGCAGTTGTACTGCTGAGGGTATTTTCAGTTATAATCACTGTATAAATATGTGTATAATAAGGTTTGTCTGCAGGTCAGTCTATGCATCCATCTTCTAATGGGGGTCAGCATGCCACCAAAAAGGTCCAGAAAAATCGAAACAATTATGCCTCCGTAGAATGTGGTGCCAAAATTTTGGCAGCTAATCCAGAAGCCAAGGTATGTGAGTGTAAACTAATAACTTTATTAAATGTAGGCAGTGGATTGTTTGCTGGGGGCTCTATTTTAGCATGAGCTGTATTCTTTATTCAATAACAAATGCAGGATTTTGCCTTTAAAGATATTTTCACGTATGACTTCTTAATTATATTGATTGACACATTGCTCCCTGTTTTTTAGCTCTTAACACCTGTGTGACATTTAAAAAGGAAATAGTTAATAGAAAATTATTTTTTCTTTATTGTAACAGACATTGAATTTGAAATGTTTTGTTGTAAGGCTAATTTAGCTCTGCAACCCTACTGGTAAATTTTAGTCTCTTTAATTTTTTTTTTTTAAATTAAATGAATGTTTCAAAATCTTAGGTGTATTTTAAGATGTAAAAGTATAGAAATTCTAGAAAGCTTTAGAGGTGAAATAAATACACTATTATTTTTACTTAAGTAATCAATACCCTCCCCCCTTTTTAAATAGAGCACATCTGCTATTCTTATAGAAAATATGGATCTTTATATGTTGAATCCTTGCAGCACTAAAATTTGGTAAGTAATATAAAAATTTTAAAAGCACATTCTGTATATGTACATACTATGTTGCACTTTTATATTAGGGTTAGTTTGATTTATTCATGTAATCATTCAATAAGCATTTTTGATTGATTGGTACCTGTACTGTGGTTCCATACTTAGCTCTTTGGTTACAGAATTGAAGACAAAATGGCTTTCCTTTTAAGAAGGTCACAAAAAACAATGACAGATCTGGTCAGACAATTACTAAGTAGAATAAAAAGTGCTATGGAAAGGGTATTGGTATTATAGGAACAAAGATGATATATAAGTGGGAGAAGGGGATGAGGGACGACTTCTGGGAAGAGTTAAATCCTGAGTGGAATCTTGAAGGATTCATATGAAGTGGCAGGTCAGGGAGCCAAAGGTATTCAGGAAATGTAAGCATAAGGGGATAATGCTAAAAAGAGCATATTTCTTCTGGGCAACTATAGATAGAAACAACCTGGAGTAGTTCTTTTAGACATGACATGAATGAAGGCACAATTAGAGTAGTGGCAGAATATGAGGGTGTAAAGTTAGTTCAGCAATATCCAGGCCTTCAGATACTGTGTATTAAAAAAACTAAAAACCAAACCCATTGCTGTTGAGTCAATTCCGACTCATAGCAACCCAGATTAGAACTGCCCCATAACCACTGTGCCATCAGGGCTCCCCAGCTTTTAAGGAAAAAAGAACTTTTATGTTAAAGGTTATGTGTAGCTTTTTTTTTTTTTTTTTTTTTTTACAATGCTCTTTGTATTTTATGTAGCATTTGTTTTCAGTAAGGAAGTGACAAGATCTTACTGTCATTTTAAGACTTTTCCTCAAAGGATGGCCAACAGTAAAATACAACTGGAAGAAGAGGAACCAGTTAGGAACCTGTTATCATAGTCCAGGTGGGAAATGAGGGCTTCAACTAAGGCATTATCAATTAGGATACAGGGAAGACAGGTATATTTGAAAAATATTAATAGCAGATAAAATTGACAGCTCTTGATTAGTAATTGGATGTGAAGGAGAGAGTGGCATGTAGAAAATCTGGCAGAATTTTGGCTTCAGTGACTGGGTCTATGATTCTGCCCTTAATTAAGAATTTAGTGAAAGGAACAGATTTATGGGGGGAAATAATGTGTGATATGCCAATAGTTTTATTAATTACTTGATTTTATTACTCAAAAGCAGCTGTTTAAAAAAAGAAGCGAGGTAAACCACTGCCATTATGTTGATGTATATTGATAT